GTAACAGAGGGATTGAGGCCCTGCTCAGTGAGGTTACATGTTAGAGGGAGTGGGGTATAGTGACACAGTAACAGAGGGATTGAGGGTCCTGCTCAGTGAGTTTACATGTTAGAGGGAGTGGGGTATAGTGACACAGTAACAGAGGAGTTGAGGGCCTGCTCAGTGAGTTTACATGTTAGAGGGAGTGGGGTATAGTGACACAGTAACAGAGGGATTGAGGGCCTGCTCAGTGAGTTTACATATTAGAGGGAGTGGGGTATAGTGACACAGTAACAGAGGGATTGAGGGCCTGCTCAGTGAGTTTACATGTTAGAGGGAGTGGGGTATAGTGACACAGTAACAGAGTGATTGAGGGCCCTGCTCAGTGAGTTTACATGCTAGAGGGAGTGGGGTATAGTGACACAGTAACAGAGGGATTAGGGGCCCTGCTCAGTGAGTTTACATGTTAGAGGGAGTGGGGTATAGTGACATTAACAGAGGGATTGAGGGCCCTGCTCAGTGAGTTTACATGCTAGAGGGAGTGGGGTATAGTGACACAGTAACAGAGGGATTGAGGGCCCTGGTCAGTGAGCTTACATGTTAGAGGAAGTGGGGTATAGTGACACAGTAACAGAGGGATTGAGGGCCTGCTCAATGAGTTTACATGTTAGAGGAAGTGGGGTATAGTGACACAGTAACAGAGGGATTGAGGGCCCTGCTCAGTGAGTTTACATGTTAGAGGGAGTGGGGTATAGTGACACACTAACAGAGGGATTGAGGGCCCTGCTCAGTGAGTTTACATGTTAGAGGGAGTGGGGTATAGTGACACAATGGCACAGAGGTTGGGGGCTACTCAGTGGGTTTGTATGTTAGAGGAGTGGGGTATAGTGACAGCTGAGAGGATTGAGGAGCCTACTCAGTGAGGTTACATGTTGAGAGTGGGGTATAGTGACACATGCTTGAGAGGGGTGAGGCCTGCTCAAGTGAGGTTGCATATTTAGGAGTAGGTATAGTGACACAGTAACAGAAGGATTGAGAGCCTGCTCAGTGAGTTTTATGTTAGAGGAGTGGGGTATAGTGACACAGCCAGCAAGAGGATTGAGGCCTGCTCAGTGAGTTTACATGTTAGAGGGAGTGGGGTATAGTGACAGCAACAGAGGGATTGAGGGCCTGCTCCGTGAGTTTACATGTTAGAGGGAGTGGGGTATAGTGACACAGTAACAGAGGGATTGAGGCCCTGCTCAGTGAGTTTACATGTTAGAGGGAGTGGGGTATAGTGACACAGTAACGGAGGGATTGAGGGCCCTGCTCAGTGAGTTTACATGTTAGAGGGAGTGGGGTATAGTGACACAGTAACAGAGGGATTGAGGGTCCTGCTCAGTGATTTTACATGTTAGAGGGAGTGGGGTATAGTGAGCCACAATAGCAAGAGGAGTTGAGGGGCACTTGCTCAGTGAGTTTACATGTTAGAAGGTGGGGTATAGCGACACAGTAACAAGAGGATTGAGGACCTGCTCAGTGAGTTTACATGTTAGAGGGAGTGGGGTATAGTGACACAGTAACAGAGGGATTGAGGGCCCTGCTCAGTGAGTTTACATGCTAGAGGGAGCGGGGTATAGTGACACAGTAACAGAGGGATTGAGGGGCCCTGCTCAGTGAGTTTACATGTTAGAGGGAGTGGGGTATAGTGACACAGTAACAGAGGGATTGAGGCCCTGCTCAGTGAGTTTACATGTTAGAGGGAGTGGGATATAGTGACACAGTAACAGAGGGATTGAGGGCCCTGCTCAGTGAGTTTACATGTTAGAGGGAGTGGGGTATAGTGACACAGTAACAGAGGGATTGAGGGCCCTGCTCAGTGAGTTTACATGTTAGAGGGAGTGGGGTATAGTGACACAGTAACAGAGGATTGAGGCCCTGCTCAGTGAGTTTACATGTTAGAGGGAGTGGGGTATAGTGACACAGTAACAGAGGGATTGAGGGCTCTGCTCAGTGGTTGCATGGTGAGGGAGTGAGGGTATAGACACAGTAACAGAGGATTGAGGCCCTGCTCAGTGAGTTTACATGTTAGAGGGAGTGGGGGTATGTAACACAGCCACTGGGGTTGAGCTGCAAGTGAGTTTACATGTTGGGGAGCGGGGCGTAGTGCCACAGTAACAGAGGGATTGAGGGCCTGCTCAGTGAGTTTACATGTTAGAGGGAGTGGGGTATAGTGACACAGTAACAGAGGGATTGAGGGCCTGCTCAGTGAGCTTAGATGTTAGAGGGAGTGGGGTATAGTGACACAGTAACAGAGGGATTGGGGGCCTGCTCAATGAGTTTACATGTTAGAGGGAGTGGGGTATAGTGACACAGTAACAGAGGGGTTGAGGGCCTGCTCAGTGAGTTTACATGTTAGGGGGAGTGGGGGATAGTGACACAGTAACAGAGGGATTGAGGGCCCTGCTCAGTGAGTTTACATGTTAGAGGGAGTGGGGTATAGTGACACAGTAACAGAGGGATTGAGGAACCTGCTCGGTGAGTTTACATGTTAGAGGGAGTGGGGTATAGTGACACAGTAACAGAGGGATTGAAGGCCCTGCTCAGTGAGTTTACATGTGAGAGGGAGTGGGATATTGACACAGTAACAGAGGGATTGAGGGCCTGCTCAGTGAGTTTACATGTTAGAGGGAGTGGGGTATAGTGACACAGTAACAGAGGGATTGAGGGCCCTGCTCAGCGAGGTTACATGTTAAGAGGGAGTGGGGTATAGTGACACAGTAACAGAGGGATTGAGGGCCCTGCTCAGTGAGTTTACATGTTAGAGGGAGTGGGGTATGGTGACACAGTAACAGAGGGATTGAGGCCCTGCTCAGTGAGTTTACATGTTAGAGGGAGTGGGGTATAGTGACACAGTAACAGAGGGATTGAGGGCCTGCTCAGTGAGCTTACATGTTAGAGGGAGTGTTGTATAGTGACAGTAACAGAGGGATTGAGGGCCCTGCTCAGTGAGCTTACATGTTAGAGGGAGTGGGGTATAGTGACAGCAACAGAGGGATTGAGGGCCCTGCTCAGTGAGTTTACATGTTAGAGGGAGTGGGGTATAGTGACACGGTAACAGAGGGATTGAGGGCCCTGCTCAGTGAGTTTACATGTTAGAGGGGTGGGGTATAGTGACACAGTAACAGAGGGATTGAGAGCCCTGATCAATGAGCTTACATGCTATAGGGAGTGGGGTATAGTGACACAGTAACAGAGGGATTGAGGGCCCTGCTCAGTGAGTTTACATGTTAGAGGTAGTGGGGTATAGTGACACAGTAACAGAGGTATTGAGGGCCTGCTCAGTGAGTTTACATGTTAGAGGGAGTGGGGTATAGTGACACAGTAACAGAGGGATTGAGGGCCTGCTCAGTGAGTTTACATGTTAGAGGGAGTGGGGTATAGTGACGCAGTAACAGAGGGATTGAGGGCCTGCTCAGTGAGTTTACATGTTAGAGGGAGTGGGGTATAGTGACACAGTAACAGAGGGATTGAGGGCCCTGCTCAGTGAGTTTACATGTTAGAGGTAGTGGGGTATAGTGACACAGTAACAGAGGTATTGAGGGCCTGCTCAGTGAGTTTACATGTTAGAGGGAGTGGGGTATAGTGACACAGTAACAGAGGGATTGAGGGCCTGCTCAGTGAGTTTACATGTTAGAGGGAGTGGGGTATAGTGACGCAGTAACAGAGGGATTGAGGGCCTGCTCAGTGAGTTTACATGTTAGAGGGAGTGGGGTATAGTTTCCAGAGGATTGAGGCCTCTCAGTGGGTTTTGTTAGGGGGTGGTGTGGTGGCTATTAACTGGAGGAATTGAGGGCCCTGCTCAGTGAGTTTACATGTTAGAGGGAGTGGGGTATAGTGACACAGTAACAGAGGGATTGAGGGCCCTGCTCAGTGAGCTTACATGCTAGAGGGAGTGGCACAACGGGTCGGGTAGAAAAGTAGATTGCTAGAATTCACTGAGGACTTAGTGGGTTATTTTTGACATTTGCAGGAGAGGAAACAGTGTGCGGGGAGGTAAAGCTGTTAACAGTTTAATTGATATACTTAGGAGAATAAAATGTAGCGCTTCTATAATAAATACATCGGTTATCACCTTTTGGCATTTTAAGAGGAGTTTTTCACCTGAATATCAAGCAGGTAGGTATCTATAAAAGACAATCAAATATAGTGTGTAGACAATATATAACTGAATGGTATTTAAGACAGAAATTGCTATATAAACTCACAAACGGAGAGCTATAGACCCAGCTCTGGTATGGATCACTTCTGGTCCGTTTAGGCGACCCACCCCTGTTAATGCTGTAAATCTTGTCCTGAAGGGAGGGATAAAAAGCAGAAACGGTTGCGCAGTACTGCTACTAATATTTAATTTAATAAAGAAATTCCCAAATGGGTACTTACAAGCCCAGAGTCAAATGATATGACTCAATTCACAAGTGTTGTGCAGATTTGGGACTGCACTCCCATCCATAAAAGATGTATCCAGGAACCAGGATCAAAGGATAAAATAAAAACTATATTTATTGCACACAAAATAAAAAGGCAACAATGTGCTCAATACCGGAACGCGTTTTGCCACTTCACTGTGGCTTTTTGAACCGGATAAATTAATTCAATGTTCCCTGGTTCCCAGTTTGTGTTTAAATACCGCTAAAATTGGCGGGTGGAGGGTCAGTGCCTGTATGCCTACTTTTCTACCCTACCCGTTGTTACCACCCTCAGGTAGAACGCGTGCGGTCCATGCCTCCCTCTCACCTCACAATTAAAAGCATTCGGCAGGTATTCCTGTCTGTAGTTACGTCGACATGGATCTGTTCCATGTTGTATTCTTCCAAAAATGTCTTAATGTTTTATCCATTAAGCATGGCATATATGTTGCAAGGTCCCAATCTTTCTCCTCCTGTGTATAATACGGTGTTTCGAAATAAGAGTCCATTCCGAGCTTTCCTTGTGGTATAAAATAAAGTCCGAGTCCATATAGAGCATGTTAACTCATTCATTGCCATAGTCCATATTATTCAGTTAGTACATGCAATAAAGAAGAAAGAATTCAAAATTTGTTTCTATTCCTTGTGATGTTCTATATTCGTCCAAATATATTCAATAATCGTGTATTATTTATTTATTCAGTCATATATTAGACCATATGTTTTATATCATATCACTACATTAAGCCATGTGTTTTGTATCAATACCAAGAACTAGATACAAATAATCTATGAATGCATTATTGTCTCTTTGCAATTGTTTAATAAAACAAATATATACAGATTGCCACAATGTATCTCTTGGTCTGTTTCTGCACTTGATAGAGTGATTGTGCAGGTACTATTAAAACGTTTACAATATTAATGCATTATGACCGAAATTATCCAGGATTATCATCTAATTGTAATTTGTTACAAATTTATGGGTGTGCTTGTACATACAATTCCATCCGATATTGCATAAAAAACCTGAACAAAATAAATAAAGCAGCAGACCCTCCCAGACCCTCCCACCTCCTGGACAGCTCACTAAGAATGAAGCTTCACAATGAATGTAAAATGGATGCTGTCCAGGAGGTGGGAGGGTCTGCTGCTGATTGGCTGGAATGTGTCTGCTGACTGTGAGGTACAGGGTCAAAGTTTACTCAATGATGAGTCCGTGGCGAACCTTTCGGCACATCACTAATAATATACAATCATAAGGTAAAAACAGGAGGTATTTTTGTTATATCCAGTATTATTGTCGGTAGAAAATAATATTCTTTATTTTAGAGTGTGGGTTTATTTTGTTCAGGTTTTTTATGCAATATCGGATGGAATTGTATGTACAAGCACACCCATAAATTTGTAACAAATTACAATTAGATGATAATCCTGGATAATTTCGGTCATAATGCATTAATATTGTAAACGTTTTAATAGTACCTGCACAATCACTCTATCAAGTGCAGAAACAGACCAAGAGATACATTGTGGCAATCTGTATATATTTGTTTTATTAAACAATTGCAAAGAGACAATAATGCATTCATAGATTATTTGTATCTAGTTCTTGGTATTGATACAAAACACATGGCTTAATGTAGTGATATGATATAAAACATATGGTCTAATATATGACTGAATAAATAAATAATACACGATTATTGAATATATTTGGACGTATATAGAACATCACAAGGAATAGAAACAAATTTTGAATTCTTTCTTCTTTATTGCATGTACTAACTGAATAATATGGACTATGGCAATGAATGAGTTAACATGCTCTATATGGACTCGGACTTTATTTTATACCACAAGGAAAGCTCGGAATGGACTCTTATTTCGAAACACCGAATTATACACAGGAGGAGAAAGATTGGGACCTTGCAACATATATGCCATGCTTAATGGATAAAACATTAAGACATTTTTGGAAGAATACAACATGGAACAGATCCATGTCGACGTAACTACAGACAGGAATACCTGCCGAATGCTTTTAATTGTGAGGTGAGAGGGAGGCATGGACCGCACACGTTCTACCTGTGGGTGGTAACAACGGGTAGGGTAGAAAAGTAGGCATACAGGCACTGACCCTCCACCCGCCAATTTTAGCGGTATTTAAACACAAACTGGGAACCAGGGAACATTGAATTAATTTATCCGGTTCAAAAAGCCACAGTGAAGTGGCAAAACGCGTTCCGGTATTGAGCACATTGTTGCCTTTTTATTTTGTGTGCAATAAATATAGTTTTTATTTTATCCTTTGATCCTGGTTCCTGGATACATCTTTTATGGATGGGAGTGCAGTCCCAAATCTGCACAACACTTGTGAATTGAGTCATATCATTTGACTCTGGGCTTGTAAGTACCCATTTGGGAATTTCTTTATTAAATTAAATATTAGTAGCAGTACTGCGCAACCGTTTCTGCTTTTTATCCCTCCCTTCAGGACAAGATTTACAGCATTAACAGGGGTGGGTCGCCTAAACGGACCAGAAGTGATCCATACCAGAGCTGGGTCTATAGCTCTCCGTTTGTGAGTTTATATAGCAATTTCTGTCTTAAATACCATTCAGTTATATATTGTCTACACACTATATTTGATTGTCTTTTATAGATACCTACCTGCTTGATATTCAGGTGAAAAACTCCTCTTAAACTGCCAAAAAGTGATAACCTATTTATTTATTATGGAAGCGCTACATTGTTTTCTCGTTTGCATATTATGTTTGTGATGTTGGAAGGTTTTGCATGAATGTATAGCAGCTAGTTTCATTTCATCTTTACACAGTGATACATTAAAATCTGGCTAAATAAGCACTGTTCCTTATCCATTTTTCTGTACCCTCTAATTGATATGCTTTCCTGAAGAAGTGAGTTTTCAATGATTTTTTGAAGGAGTGGAGACTGGGTGAAAGTCTAACAGAGAAGGGAAGGGAGTTTCACAGGAACTGTGCAGCCCTGGAGAAGTCTTAAAGATGAGCATCAGAGGTGGGAGTACCGACAGTGTAATGACCTAGACGGGCAGGGCCGGATTAACATAGGGGCTGATGGAGCTGCAGGCCCAAGCCCATGGAATAGGCCCATTGATTTAAAAAAAATATATATTTTTTTTTTTACACACTACTATTAAGTTTGCCAGGTATTTTTCATGTATTTCTTAGGGTTGCCAGGTATTTCTCATAAGTATTTCTCAGGTATTTGAGGCCGCCTAGCCGGTGCCGGTATTGCAGTAATACCGGAAATACAAATGTCTATCTCAGTATAAACAGAGATTGTTCTGCAATACCAGCGCCAGCCAGTAGGGGTCGCTGTTTGTGTGGATAGAGGCAGGGATAAGAAGTTACAGCATCTGCCTCTCTCTACTCACTGATCCACGGGGGAGCAGCTCTGCACAGAGAGTCCAGACAGCAGCTACGAGCATGCGAGACATGGGGACGGTGAGAGACATAGGGACACTGGGGAACATGGGGACCTTGAGACACTAGGGACACAGTGGCCCCATGTCTCCCAGTGGCCCCTAATCTCTCAGCGTCCCCATGTCTCCCAGCCAGTGTCCTCATGTCTCCCAGTGTCCCTGATGTCTCTCACTGTCCCCATGTGTCCCTGATGTCTCTGTGTCCCCATGTCTCTCCCAGTGTCTGTGTCCCCAGTGTCCCAATGTCTCTAAGTGTCCCCTAATGTCCTAGTGACATCGGGACACTGGGAGACATAGGGACACAGACTCTAAGGAACACTGGGAGACATGGGGATACAAATACTAGGGGACACTGGGCGACATGGGGACACTGAGACACTAGGGGCACTGAGAGACATGAGGACACTGGGCGACTTTGAGACCTGGGAGACATGGGGCACTCCCAGTGTCCCCATGTCTTCCAGCCAGTGTCCCTAGTATCTAAGTATCCCCTTGTCTCCGTGTCCCTGGTGTCTCTGTGTCCGCAGTGTCTCAGTGTTTCCTAGTCTCCCAAAGTCCCCCAATGTCCCCTAGTGTCCCCATGTCTCCATGTCACCTAGTATAAAAAAAAAATCTCAGGCACTCATTGTGATAGATTTAAGTCTAGTGAGCAATCAGAGAGAAGCTGTTATATGTCTACTCCTGTCTCTATTCTGCCTGTGAATACCTAATGAGTTAATAACTACTCAATCATTTCTAGTTCACAGAGAGATTTTTCACTTATTTTTTAATTCTTCAAGTTTATTCAAGACAGGCATTAGATAAGAGCAGTAGATAGGGGCTGCAATCTGAAACAAGTTACCAACCCCATACAACTGAGGGTTAAAGCAACTGTAGCTAATTAGTATCCTCTTTATGCTCTCTCCGTATTGCAACACTGTGCTAGTACAGAAGCCCTGACCTGACAGCTATCTGGCTCAGTTTCTTCACTCAAACGGTCTCCGATATTGAATTGCATTAACCAAAATTAGGAGAAGAGAGATTGCAACAATTTGTAATTACAAACAACCTTCTACTAGTTCTATATTACCATATTGTAGAATCAATGACATCAGCCATCTGCTCCCTGTATCCTGGACACCTACTCAGTGTGATATAAGAAAATCCAACTCCTGAT